CAAAAAGTTTTATTCCCAATGCCACATAATCTCCTTGCATCGCTAATTTCTATCATTTGGGCTTCAGAATAAATCAGTGTCCTATCAGAAGGCTGAAAAGTGGTGAAATAAGGTAAACATTTAGCTCAACCTCTAATCCAACCAGTAAACTTGTAATGCAAATACTTTTCTATCCACACACTCTATGTGCGGTAAGATTAGAAACCCTGAATTTAGCTAAATTAGAGAAAATATATAAGCATTTGCTTTAATTACACCTGTGCAAATTGATGCCAGTGGGTCCAAAGTATCTGTAATTAGCACAGTGTGAGGAACACCAGGCTCAAGAGCTTGGCTTCTTCTAAATCGCAAAATATTTAAACTTTTAATATACGTTTTATATTTTATTTCAGTCTTTTGCTTTCCTTTGTGCCAGCCCAACCTGGTCAGTAAACATCAATTACAAGTCCATTGTGTAAATGAGAATTAATCCGGAGGACGCTAATGCCAATCAGCCTCCTGCTGTTCTTTCTAAGTCCAGATAAAATGAACAAGGCGTCTGCATGGTGACCACAAAGCAAGGTGGGAGCTACTCTTTTCTAACTACGGTTAGGAATAGATTCAATTCAGTTTATTTATATAGCGCTAATTCACAACACATGTCATCTCAAGGCACTTTACAATTCAAACAGATCATATAGTCAATAGATTTTACATATAAAATGTGTTTCTGTGAGAATGCAACAGAAAAAAGACTTAAAATAAATACGGTAAAAAAGGATAAAAACCTGCAGTTACTTAAAAAACTTAAACAAAGCATTCAATGCTTCTGTTATATGAGCCAACGAGGCTCAGCTTCACTCTATAGAGTTTCCAAAGGATATTTGATCTATTCTGTCTGACATATTGATCAGCTTTGCTATCTATATTTTTACCTTTTTGCCACAAAAACAAGTGACAATAACAAGAAAAGAAAAAAGATTGCTGCATAACAGAGACCTATGAAGAAGCAGCATTAGAATAAAAACATAACTCTACCAAATAGAGATTTAAAATTAAGGAAAAATAATAAACATCTAGGAAATAACACTCTAAATGTCTTTACATGCTGAGCAACAGAATGGCTGATTATGCCATCAGATCGGTGCTTTTAAATCCCACATGAGAATCCTGTTAACACAATAATACAAATATTTCTTTAAACAAAATTCTATCTTACCAAACTTACGATTTAGAAATAAATCCAAATGTTGAACTGAGGATGGGTTCAGGGAAAAGCAACAAGGTATTTTTAAAAACCATAATCAAGGTTACTCTGTGCTGATTTCTTAAAGTAAAACTTTTCTTTTTCCACACCTTTTTTTTATCCCTCCAAAATAAAAAGGCCATTGGCAACAGGTTTGACAGCCATTTTTGACAAAAGGTGTCCGAGTTCAGTGGAAAACTCCGATAAAGGCGCCCGTTTTGCACCTGAATGCAATAAAAGTTTTCCGACACCTTCCACCCATCTGTGTGAGCGGTACAATTAATTACAGTGTCTGTGGAAAGGTCACATCGAACCCAGGCAGGGTTAGGCAAAAATGAAGAGCTGCCTTGAAACAAATTATTTTAATATTTGGGGCAGGCACTCTGATTTCATTTCACTTTAACATGAACATTTAAAGAGATATTAAGGTCACTCTAAAAATATTAAAAATGCCTCTAAATCTCTGATAAGGGGAACAACAGAATCAAGACATACAACCTCCCTAACATGAACTAAAAGTGAAGAGTTCAAACATCAGAGTGACTTTGAGCTCATAATACCGAGAAAAAAAACAGGGAATCTGTATGATGCAACGAGATGCAGCAAAGCAGCAGCATCCATGAGGAAAAAAAAAGCCATGTTTATTCAATTTTAGCGCTGAAAGTCAAATCAAAATTTGATTTGCTTCAATCAATGAGATAGCACAGAGGGAGAAAGAAGAAAAGGGGAGGGATTTAGTCTGAGTTTGGTAAAAAAGGGAAAGATTTCAGTGTATTTAGAAAAAGACACCAGAGATGGGTTCAGCTGAAATCCCAGGCTGCTCTGTGTGGACTATCTGTGCAGGAATGGATTTACACCAGGTTCTCCGGCTGCTTCCCACTGTCAAAAACACGTATGTCAGAGTAATAAGCGATTCTGCACACAGCTGAAGCATGAGGGTCGAGATGCTTAGAAAGCCTGTTCAGCTACTCTTAAGAGGTAAAAAATAAAAACAGCTTCTCCTCAGTGAAGATATCATCCATAACAGAAAAATATGTTAAAAAAAACTGCCCATGTAAACAGCAGTAAAGCTTTAGGATCAGGGATAACTGAGTAATTCTGCAGGATAATAAAAACAGTATGTGACCCACAGACTGACCATAAACTTAATAAAAAGTGTCTGAATCCTGCTGAGGCAGAGAAGGTGGTTAGGATCCTGGTGAGGTACCTAAAAAGCTTTAAAATAGGATTACTTGCTTTACTTCAAGAGGGAGAATTTCATATCGAGAGCAAGGAAAAATAGTTTGATTTAAGGTTTAAATATCTTTAAAGGACGACATGTTATTTTAAACATTTTTTGACATGTCTATCAATCTGTTGAGAATATATACATCTTTAACATATATCAAAATGATCAACAAGCTAAACCTTCTTAGAGTCACTAGACTGGATGAAGATTTAAGACCAGAGAAATGTTAGAAAAAGGGAAAATCATTAGATTATATATCATCATTAGATTATAAATCATAGATTATAAATCATTAGATCATCTGACCTTCCATTGAAAGCATAAAGGCCTGGAGTTAGCTCAGCTCTACTGGGATTCCCGAACTTTTCAACCTGTGACCCAAAAACCCCTTAAAATCATAGCTTTACTCTATTTTTATTTTATAAATATAAAATGAGATAATTATATTAATAAAACAGGCATTTTTAAAATGAAATGTAATTGTTTACTTAATACTCAGTATTTTAATTGTTTAAAAGGACAGCTATTTTATAGTATATTTTGAAATTTAGATGTATATTTTATATTTGAATCAAAAATAAATAAATATTTAATTATTTTAAGCTAAATTTATTTATTTCATGATATATCTTGACCCACCTTATGCTTTAAGGGTCACATACAAAAAACAAAACAAAAAAAAGAACCCCCCACTTGATGTCTCAGGACCCTTTAGGGAATACAAACATGCCTCCTTTAAGTAAAGTGGAGGATCAATGATGCTGCGGGCCTGGCATTAGAGACCGTACTACATGTAAGGAATTTTTATTCATTTTTTATTTATTTATTTTTTTTTATAAACCTTTCATCAGTCTTAACAATCAGAAAGTTAAGAGTTTTTTTTTTTTTACTTATTAAGTGTTTTTTTCTGCTGTAGACTTGATGATTTTAAAATATCTGTAAAGAGATTTTAAACAATATTTCACTTTTAAACAAACAGCCATGTCAGGTTTAGTGCTTATTTGTTGTATTACAAATGTTGCCTGTTTAAGTGGATTTTATACGCAACTGATAGACGTAAAAAAGAAAACATTAAGAGGAACAATTCTGAAGATGTCCTCTTGTAAAAGTTTTTATACATTTTTCCTTATTTTTAGTTACATTTTGGTGAAGAGGCTAATTTCACCAAGCAAAATTTACCCCAATATCAATATTTTTTCTTTCCTAACGAAACCTTCTTTAAAAAATACAGATTCACTTGTTTTTTTTAGTAAAGTTCTGTACCATATGATGGCAAAACATTTGTGTTTTACAACAGGTGCTCAGTGCAGATAAACTTTCCAAGTGAAGGACAAAAGCAGGTGATAATATTCCAGTTTTGAAAAGCTTTGACCAAACCAGATGAACTTTTGAATGTCTTTTGCTATGAGTTCTTAGAGAAAATAACACCTCTGACTTTTTCCTGAAGTTTGCAGTCATGCTGAGGGGCAACTGCAGTAAAACCTGTGCCTGGTCTAATGAACCAGCCGTAACGAATGAATCCCAAAGCGTCAACATGCATTGTTTTCTCAGTGCTTTATGCCATCAACAAGGCTACTGGCAAGCATTAGTGCATTTAAAGGGTGGACAAATATCAGTATGCCTGATGTGGGCAGATTACAGATGCTTTATCTAAAACCACATGGTTTTTCTAAAGATAAGCTGCAGCCAAGGTAAGAAGAGCTTTCCAAGAGTTCGTGCCTCCCTTACAAAAAGGAACCTTTGAAGCATAAAGCGTTTTTTTGTGTCTGACTAAAATAGCTGGTGAAAGCTCTTAATCTTTCAGTGAATACCACAAGTTATTAAAGATTAATTTAATGTATTTTTCAGTCAAAAAAAAAAAAAAAAGGCCACCGTCCATTTCATTTCTAATTTGGCCACAAGCAAGGCATTTTTTTGGTTGAAAAGAGCTTGATTTGGCTCAGAAATGCTATTAAATGTCAGTTTAGTTCTTTTAAATCGAAAGAAAATTAATTGAAGTGCTTTGGATTTCCTGGCGATGAAAAGAAATTATAAAAAAAAAAAAAAGAAATCAGTGCGCTTAAAAAATTACTAATAAAAAAAAAGAAAAGAAAAGCAGAGTGAGAAGATAAAAAGTGGATAAAATATAGTTGAATGAATATATATATATATATTCATTATATATACATATATATATATACATACATACACAC